CTAGAAGATCAGGAGACCGCTTAAGCAAAACGGGGTCAGATGGTCCTGAGCATTATCGGTACGTGAATGCGAAAAGCATTATATCTACGGGCTTTAAGATACGTTTTAAAAAATTAAAATGAGTTGCAAATAACAGAGATCAAATATTTATGTAGAGCAAAAGTGAAAATCTCATTCTTTGCTGCATCTATGGTGAAAACTAATTCTGGTCAGTTTTAAACCCAAAATCGTCCATAGGCGGTGATAAATAGTCCCGGCCGCAAATGACCTCAATTTCTCGTGGCTTTGAGCCTTCTTTCTCTTTCTCTCTTTCCAAACACGGCCTTCTCGGCACTTGATATAATTTTCCTACCGTCGTGGTGAGCGGCCTAATCCACCGGAGAGGGTACAATTCGACGACCATCGCCAAGTCAAGCTACGTGCCCTGTCCAATGTTAGTTTCTTCCTTTTGCTTTCGACGACAACTTCCTTCACTCCCGTACGCTGTTTGGCCACCGCATTGAAAATATGGTCGCGAAGTGAAATATCCAACATTTTTCTTTCAATGACTCTCTCAATGCAGACAGCTGGAGATTTTGGCTTTAATGAATGATTATGTCTGGCAGCCGTATAACAGCGCCGGCAGGACGGCAGAATTGAAGAGGTGGAAGTACGCTCCTTTTTTTATGTGCGCAAGGCGCAAGTGATGGAAAGCATCCTGTGATAACTGACCCCTTTCTTCGTTAGATCACTTCACTGATCATGCCAAATTATGGCGGATGATCAGGGGCCCGTGATTTACTTTAAAGAGCTGGATGTAAAAGTTCTTAACGAAAGACTGCATCTCATCTCTTTTGAACGTCAATGCTCTATTCCCGTTCTTCAATATCATACTGGCTGACTGACATAGCTGTAACTCACTTCTGCATTGTCTCAAACGTCTGTGGTTTTCACTTGTTTCCTATAATTTCTTCAAATCAGAAGGTCTCGAATTCCTTCATCAGCTTCAGTCTAAAAGGTTTGCAGAGAATGGAGCACTCAACCGCGTCGGCTCCATCCCCTTTTATTCTCCTTCGCTCCTCTAACAAACTCTTTGTCTCTTCAGAGGTCCTTTCTTTGACCTTCTTTGACGTTACCACATGGTCTGACTTTAGGCGGCACCTCGGCTTCTGACGAACTTCTCGTATTCGTCACTGCAGCTGCCTTTGAGGCTCCAGTCTTCGCTGTAAACGCGCGCTTGGAGCACTGCCTTCTCTAATAACTTTGGCCGTTGTCTGCGATTTGCCGTCTGCAGTGCCTTCCTCTCAAACGTTTCATTGATGGATAGCCCTGACTGCGTGAGTATGTGGTCAATGCCGGTATTAAATAACGGCACTACTGCTACGTCTCGGATGATGCGACATTTTTTGTAACAGGACGAAGTAACCCATCTCGTTCTTCGTCGCCGTGTTGGGCGCGATCCATGTCAACATCCTGTTATCCTTCTTCTTGAATCAGGGGGTTTCAGTGTACAGATGTTTCGTTTCTGCTGTGGTCATCACAGGCCTATCGCCTTGCTCATTTCGCTCCCCAGTGCCGTACTTACCAACTAACTTTTCACCCTTCATTACTCTCTGCCTTTTGCATTGAAGTCTCCAATGACGACTGTACACGTGGACTTCGGGACCAATGTTTGTTCCAGTTGTTCATGGACTACTTTCACTTCTCCTTGTAGGTTGTAATAGTGAGAGCGTTAGGTTGGACGATGTGCAAGATCCTCTTTTTGTTCACTTGGAGGCACAGCACGTCCGGTCTGGTGACCTAACATGGCAGCAGACGACTTTGAGGGACCAGCTTCTTATGTTGAGTGCAAAGCCAACTTTGCTTATATTCTTAGTGTTTTATCCTCTTCGTGACCAAATCGTATTTCTAGATGTCAAGGATGTCGTAGGCCATTTATGACCTTTCCTTCATTGGTTGTTTCACCGTTTCTTCCCTCGCCAGAGTCGGTGTAAACGTCGATGGACTTCGTGGTCCTTTTACTAGATGACAGCCTTTCACCCAAGATTCTTAGCAGCCTCTCGTCAGTCGACCACTGAACCGCCGCCGTAGAATGGATCAAGAAACGCGCAGGAAAATGAGGACCATTTTTTCTCATTGTCATGGTACTAGAAGTTTTGCTATCCGCTGGCGAGGTTGACGATTTCCCGGTGGAATTTCGTACCGATTGATCCCTCTATTCCGTCCGATTTTCGCCAAGGTTGTTTCTTCTGGCCTTTGACTAATCGACCCATAACCGCAAGGCAGCCGTGACGTTCGAGGTTTTTTCCTTCAAAGAGGTGGTTCCTTTTCACCTCTACATGAAACTGTTAGTGGGCACAGTGACCTTTTCTCTGAGGATTCAACTTATCGAGCTCGAACGCGATTATGCTCTGCTGGTCTCACAGTTGTCTGTACACGACTGCTTATCCATAGCAGCTAACCTCCATATCTGGAGGTCGTTCCTTTATCCACATTCCTTATCGCATCAGATGACCGTCATTTAGGCACACTGGAAACCTAAAATCACTACGGTGTAATGTTTGGGTTAAAAAGCACCTCCTGCTAGTGGCACGAGTAGTTATACGTGCTGTTCGAGCAAACTCTGTGATATGCAGTATGTCAACACGCAAAACAGGTGGTTGAATACTAGGCAATTTTACCAAGCTTCGGTGGCCTGCTAGACAGGGCAGAGTGTGATTGGGCTGCGTAACCGGTTCAGTGACTTGAATGAGTCAATTTCTGTGTAAATCAACTTTAATTTGTTTCAAACCTAAGATCATCAGTAAAAAAATATTGACGGAATAGGTGGGACATTTTCCCAGCGTGATAAGCGACCGATGCCAGCATGCGTCAAGATATTAGCATCACTGTACAATCTCGAGCAACGTCATTACGTCGAATTTTGAAGCATAGATTATCCGTCTTCTTATAAAGGATGACGTAATAATAATGCTGCCCCCGCCCCTTCCCCAGTATTTTTTTACCTTCCTAAAGACCACACCTTCATTGTGATAACAGGGTCGGACAACGATTAAAATAAGGGATTAATCAGCAGGATAAAGTATTTTGGGGTTTGTTTCCATTTAGCCTGTCGTGAACCCTGAAACAGCGACCAAGGAAGCATTGACGGATTAGCATGAAACTCTGATTGGTGACGTTAGCTGCAGAGTGGTTTGAAATTGTCTGCTTCCGTTCAACCGGTCAGAAAATGAGCTCTTCTTCGTGGAAACCAATAATAATCCTCTGATTTATATACAGTCGCCTGCTCACCTTTGAGTAACGTTTCAGATCTCCGATTTATGTCTGCTTTGATTCAAGGAGGTAGAGCATCAAAGGGCAAGTCAGCAGAAGAAATAAGGCCTAAAATTTCTGCCCCGGTGTTTCGGTCTCTGACTTATCAATACGCTGGTACGAGGACATTTTTCTGACTGGAACAACTGTCCCCCAGGCAAATAATGGCAAGAAACCGTTGCTTTTGACGAACGCGCTAAATTTCGAACTTCTGCGGAAATCACTTAAGAGGGAAAACTTTGCAAAATACGGTAAGTAAAATTTAAAGTAAACGTCAAATGTTGTGGTACCGAAAACGAACTGTTTGTATCATACAAAGAC